GATTCAGACACAGTGGAGCAACATGAGTTTCCTGGGTCTGCTTGGCAGGACATTGTCCAGCAGGACCTAGGTCTTTTATTACATGTCAACAAAACCGTAGTCCTGTCTTTGATTTGAGATCAGATCGTTGGTAGAGGGGGGATTGGTGACCTCAGGGCATGGTCATGGTCATCAAGACTGGAAACAGAGGCCATCCCTGCATTCCTGACCCAGGTTTCCCAGCCCCAACCCTTGGCTTGCTGGCGATGTTTCCTCTCCCAGACACTGGGTAGCATCACCCGTCCCCACCTTGTGCCTGAGACAAACATTCTTTTCCAGGCATTCAACTAAAGATGCAGATTTTGCAGATCAACAGGGATCAGTGAATGAAAAATATCAGGATTAGTATACCAAGATCTCACCGTAGAATTTTGCAGAGGGTAGAGAGTAATTCATGCAACCAGGGCCCATGGCAGCAAATAATTTTCACCTCAAGGTGGATATAAATGTTAACATTTTCAGATGCACAAGGCACATTGACCCAGGTGAAAGATATTGTAAGCAAATGCATGATTATGGCTGGAAAGGTCCATCCTCCTGCCTCAGCAATGTAACGGAACAGTACATAGACTCAGTGTGGATTTCATGGCTCTTGAGCCCTTAGCATGTTCCAGGCTCTCAGCTAAACATGTGTATTTTCTCATGTCCTCATTCCAGAAGCTGAGAAGTCTGGGTCTCCCTTGTTCTAATGCACAGATGTGGAAACTGAGGCCTCAAAAGCTGCAGAGCGACAGTGCTGACAGTAGAGACAGAGTTGATCCTTTAGTGTTGTCTGACTGTGTATTCCACCATGCTGCTTCCCAGGTGTGGGAACAGGATTAAAGTCGGGTCCTAAAGCCTCCCTGAGAGCCCAGTCTGCTGGGATGGATGAGTCTTACCTGCCTGATGAATCAGGGATGTCCTTCATTGTTTCATTTGAGCATTTCCACATGGTCACATAGGGCAGGCTGTTCTGGCTCTCTCTTTCAACCCTTAATGAACATTCGAGTTCCAAGGCAATGGTGGTATTGTCCCTGGGATTATCATCAGGCCTGCAGAAATAAAAGTCACACTGAACACAGGACTAGAAGGTTTTGCAGACTGTCCTGGTTTTCATCTTCTGAGTGGATGCAATAACATGTGTCTAAAGGCATTGTCAGTAACATCTGGGTAATATCAACATGTTACATATTCTCCACAAAATTTATGCATTTGTATTAGAGTTCT